TACTTTTGACAGCCGATGCACGCAGCGGTGAAATCCGCCACTTTGCGCCAACAAAGGTTGCAGTTTATTTCACCTCTTGCTAACCTGGCACGTTAGCTAACCTAGCTAGCTTGAGTCTCAGGCGGCTCTCATCAGTCTGACACTGAGTCCGCACACACTGTTAACGCACTTATAACATTTGCTCAGTTTCCGTAAATGCAATGGTTGCCTTGAATGTACTATTTTAGACGTTTATCTACCGGATCTTAGTACTTTAACTAGATTGGTTAACGTTACTAGCTAGCGAGCTAACAATGGGAATGTGAGTACTTCATTGTCACCACAATTAACGTCAACACCAAGCTAACGTTAAAACGGCTCATTTTGCTACCTTCAAAGGCCAGGTAGTTAAGCGGAAAATAATGTTTCGGTCATTTATCTTTGTATAAGTTAACAAAGCATCACCGTGTAAATGTACCTTGGTAGTTTGTAGAGTTGAACAGAAGCGGTTTGATTTCAGTATTTTGGCTGGGAAAGTTAGAGGTCCGGTTGCAGCATCACAACAGTCATGCAGTATAGTATTGTTGAACACACTCACCTAGCTTTTCAGTGGACGGACGTCTTTTGCCCAGACACTTACAGTGACAGGGTGATCCCAGTCTACTTCATTTCTGCAATTGTTTCGATTTTTCAGGAAAAATAAACCAAAAAATCAACATCGTGTGTTTTGTTTGTTCTCATTTTAGGTGATGTTGGAAATTACTACTATGGTCAGGGGCATCCCATGAAGCCCCACCGAATCCGCATGACACACAACCTGTTGCTCAACTATGGCCTCTACAGAAAGATGGAGATATACGTATGTTGCGCTTCATAACCTATTTGCTTAGTCAAATCGCTGGGCTTGCTTTTACGATGTTTCCCGGGAACCCATTTGTCCTCTGTGTTTCAGCGTCCGCACAAAGCCAGTGGAGAGGAGATGACCAAGTATCACAGTGACGACTACATCAAATTCCTGCGTTCAATCCGGCCAGACAACATGTCAGAGTACAGCAAACAAATGCAGAGATGTAAGTTTGCGACAGAGGTTGCCTGTAGATAAACTGTGTAAGCAATACAGTGCTTAACTCTGTGCTGTTGCTTTGCAGTTAATGTGGGGGAGGACTGTCCAGTGTTTGATGGTTTATTTGAGTTCTGCCAGCTCTCAGCAGGGGGTTCTGTTGGTAAGTTGCTTCTCTTTAAATACTTTTCACACAAACATACTGTGTTGGACTGTAATCTTGCCATCACTGCCCCAGTAATCTGTTAAGTTTAGTATAAGCAGGCTGTTAATTCTTTCCTTCTCACTGTGGTGCAGCTGGTGCCGTGAAGTTGAACAAACAGCAGACAGACATTGCTATCAACTGGGCTGGGGGTCTGCATCACGCCAAGAAGTCTGAGGCTTCTGGGTTTTGCTACGTCAATGACATTGTACTGGCTATTCTGGAATTACTGAAGTGAGTACAAAAGCCCTGTTGCAGCCACTAAAGTACAGGGTTGTTGTGAATGAGTAGATGGTACGGTTCATGGTTGGTCAAATGAAAATTCTCTTGGATCAAAAGTAGCAGAACATAGAGGATCTTTCCTCTCTTTCCAGATACCACCAGAGAGTTCTGTACATAGATATTGACATCCATCATGGGGACGGTGTTGAGGAGGCCTTCTACACCACAGACCGCGTTATGACAGTTTCCTTCCACAAATATGGAGAGTACTTCCCCGGCACGGGCGATTTGAGGGTAAGCCTTGAATTATTGGTAGATAAAAGTCATGTTGTCATAGTCATAATACAATGAGTTGACATTTATCTTCTACTCTGCAGGACATCGGTGCTGGGAAGGGTAAATATTATGCTGTGAATTATCCACTGAGGGATGGGATTGATGATGAGTCATATGAAGCCATATTCAAACCCGTGAGTAAATAATGATTTGTTTACTGTCCATATCTCCTCTTGTGGTTCAGACACATTTGAAAGTGGACATTGTTGTTTGTGTAGATCATGGCCAAGGTGATGGAGATGTACCAGCCCAGTGCAGTGGTTCTGCAGTGCGGAGCTGATTCTTTGTCAGGAGACAGGCTCGGCTGCTTTAACCTCACCATTAAAGGTAAAACATTTTGGTCCTTATGGTGTTAGAATATGAGCAGACGTATGTAACTGTTTTCATGACGTATAACTGAGAAACAAAAGTGTACAATTTTCAATAATTTTTTTCCATGTGTGTGCTCAGGTCATGCCAAGTGTGTGGAGTACATGAAGAGCTTTAACCTGCCACTGCTGATGCTGGGTGGAGGAGGCTACACTATCCGTAATGTGGCACGCTGCTGGACATATGAAACTGCTGTAGCCCTTGATTCCTCCATCCCTAATGGTGAGTCTTAATGACCGTGTTGCACTGAATATAGGTAATCTGGTTTTCATTTCAAATCAGCTTCTACTGTGGTGGTTATTAAAAGCTTTGTCTTAGTATTGTAATATGTATAATACATAATACATCAGGAGTAATACAGGTAACACAAATGATTTGTCAGTGGAAAATTTTGGTAATCGGCTAAAGAAAGTCACAGTCTGCTGGTTACAGCTTCTGAAATGTTATGATTTGCATGTTTTTGTGTCATGGCATTTCTCATTTTCTCATTTGACATTTTATGGACAATAATAGCTGAATCTGTAATAAACCTTACTTGCAGACCTGTTATTTAACTACTTCAGTAGACTCTTCAGGTTTTCTTGGCATAGACACAAAGAAGGAGCCTGACTTGAAATATTTGTAACAGCTTCTTACAAAACATTAATTCAATAAAAAATGTGTATTAATTTTTTAACAATTCTCCTCAACTCTACAGAGCTCCCATACAATGACTACTTTGAATACTTTGGACCGGACTTCAAGCTGCACATCAGCCCCTCCAACATGACCAACCAGAACACCAACGACTACCTGGAAAAGATCAAGTGAGTTCATGATAGTGCCAGTCAAATTCATCTTTCTTTCCTCGATGTGTGTTACAAAATGTCAAAATGCATAATGCACAGCATCATCTAATTAAGGATTCACCAGTTTCAGCAGCAGTTACAGTAGCTTTTGTGTTTCTTTAGCCACATCATAGGTAATAGTTAAGAGTCTCAGATTGTGAATTTGTTTGTGCTTGTTGTCAGTATGTTCAACCAATTTTTTGTCCTCCAGGCAACGCTTGTTTGAGAACTTGCGTATGCTGCCTCACGCTCCGGGAGTTCAGATGCAGGCCATCCCTGAAGATGCTGTGCAGGAGGACAGTGGCGACGAGGAGGAAGATGACCCCAACAAACGCATCTCCAGTAATAACCTTTTTACAGTGACCCTTACTTTGTCATCGTGCAGTCCACACACAACGGTAGCATCATGTTTTGATTTTATCCTTTCCTCTGATAATGTCCACAGTCCGTGCCCACGACAAGAGGATAGCTTGTGAGGAGGAGTTCTCTGACTCAGAGGATGAAGGTGAAGGCGGCCGCAGAAATGCAGCCAGCTTCAAGAAAGCCAAGCGAGCCAAAACCGAAGGAGAGAAAGAGGGAGAAGAAAAGGAGAAGAAAGGTGAGGAGGAAACAAAAGGTATCTACCCTTTTTTTTTTTTCTTTTTTTTTTTCATTCTTATATCACCCCACTTTTTTTTTTAAATAGAGATCTTATTAGAACTTTTTATCTATTATTATGATGGCTATGAGTTTGTTTGTTTTTTTTTGTTTTTTTTTTCTTATAGAAGTAAAAGAAGAGGAGAAGGTGCCAGAGGAGGAGAAAATGGACACATCAAAGTGAGAAAACACTGCACACACTGATTGACCATGTTTTCCAGCAAGGGGCTGATGAGTGGGAGTGTTAATCATTACCTTACTCTGGGTCCTTTAGGCCAAAAGAGGAATCCAAGACACCTTGAGGTCCTCAGCATCTAAAGATGCCAGAGCAGCTGATCAGAACTGATCACACCAGATTTTTTGGACTGATCATCTTTCCAGGCTGCTGCTGTGGAAATCGGTGAAGGACTAAACCTTTGTTATGAGAGGTCCTACTCCCTCAAAACGGGACGAGGATCTTACCATGTTTTTCTAGGACAACTTTTCAACTTTGCTGTTTATGGACTAGAGTCAAAATGAGTGTTTTTGAGTATTGTTTTTGTATGCTTTCTTATTTTTTTGTCTTGAATCTTTTTAAGCGATGACATGTGCTTTTCCCTTGTGAAGCAACTCTGTAAAAAAAAAAAAATGGCTTAGTACATGTTTGCTTTTATATATCTGACTGATTTAATTTATTTAAATCATAGATATTTTGGCTACTCTGTTTTATGTCTTTCAGTCCCACTTTAGTCCCGTGCCTTTTTGAATATGTAGTTGAAGCATGTTTGTACGATAGATCCTTTTCTTTAATACATTTGTTTCACTGGTCTTGCCTGCTAAGGTCACCAAGAATGGTTAAGATGGTTGTCTAAACCTATAAACCTCTTACATGTCACAATGTAAGTTTATTATATTCTTATATCTAAGGTTATGATAGGATGTGCCCTTTACTGGCACACTGGCATTTTCTTTGTTAAATTTCTGTGACTCACAATGTTGAAAATGTTTGGGTCCAGTATCAGGCTTAGATTCCACTGAAGTTTGGACTTGAATGTCCAAGATACTGTATAGTACTCAGTGTAAAATGAGAGGCAAGGTAAAAGCCAGATTTCATTCATTTGTTGTATATATTTGTATAAGTGTTTCACCACAGAGCTTGCAAGTGTCATTTAAATCAGACAGACCCAGGTGTGTGTTGACCACATTTTAAAACACCAATAAAAACTGCCATAAAAGTTATGTAAATCTCTTAAGTTGTGAGTTTTTCAAAATAAGATTTATAACATGTTATGTCTGCTTTGATGAAATGTTTGGCGATAACATTTAAATTACGAAATCATTTTAAAGTCGGAATAGAGATGACAGAAGCTTACTGTATTTTCAATATTTTCAAAATCTATACAAACAAAAGCTGACCACTTCAAACCAAACCAACAGCAGATAAAAAAATTCCTCCTTTTTACGTAAAGGTAAATAAAATGTTATTGCTTTTCCTGGCTTATGTCCCACAAATGTCTTCTTCAGACATGTAGTGTGTAACAGACATGTGATGTGCAATAACTCCACAGATGAAGCTGCATCTTATCCAGTTGATCCCAGCAGTATGCAACCTATCTCATTAGGTTTAGCTGCTTCAGAGCCATTCACTCTGCTCCACTGCGGTGTTGCCGTCCAGCAGTTCATCCCGCTCTGCAGGCTCAGCTTCAGCGCTGATCTCTGGATCCCGTGCTGGCGTTGGGGTTTCAATGCGTCTTTGGATACGCACCTGAAACAGTAAATGAATAGGAATTTCAGAGAAGCCAACTCACATTCGTGACCTTAGCGGAGCAAATGTACCGCACTTCTATTCTGTCCTCAACCCTACATAGGAATTGGAATAAATTTCTTAGTATTAAGAAGGTTAAGCAGGAAGATATTGCTGTTAACTAACAGACAAAGTCTGAATGGAAAGTGACTAAAGTAGGTGGAAAAAATGTAATAAAACTAAATGTCTCTAAAATCAGCCAACAGGCACAATGTTTTTTTTTTTTTGTCCTGATAGTTTTGACAAGAAGAAATTTAAACACATACTGACTTTAACTACAATAAAGACCCCAGTCATAAACAACAACACATACAAAGTGTTTACAATACTGTTTAAATTGCAATTTGAATATATCATATAATTTTTCTTAATGTTTTAGGTTAAATGGCTCTTTAGAAAGAATAGATGGGGCCATTAATATAAATCAGTCCAGATAACAATGTAATTTGTTTCCCGGACTGTCATGCCAAGTAAATTGAATGTGTATTTTAAATAAGAATTTTAATGTTACTCCAGTGCTGGTAATGCATAACAATTAACACATGAACACATATGAAACAAGCGTTTACATGAAATGATGGTGAATGAACCAAGCCACTGTTCATGATGTGCGCTTTTTCAGTTTACTTTCATTTCACTTTCAAGATCAAACCATGTGATCATGCACGGGGACAGCACGAGATGAGGGAAACAGTTACCACACTGCCCTGTTGAAGTTTGCCTCGTCAGCAGGTCTTTCCATTGGTCTCTATTAAATTCAATGTCACATTACTATTTCAGGATAGAGTGAACCAGGGGTGTTCACTGTTAAAACTGTTAAAGCTAATGTTTTTGCTGCCGCTGTGTCACAACTAAGCCTTGTATTAGAATAATTGTTACCTAACTGTTACCTAATACAGTGTTGTTATAGTATTTTTTAACACATTGCTATTTAACCTCAAACAGTAAAGAAGAAAAATGAGTATTTTCCTGCCTGCCTTGAAAAACCTCTATCATCCTATTTACATTTATGCAAACCACATTTTTTATATTCAGTAACTCAGAGGTCTGACTGAAATTCGTTACTATAAAGTGACACATTACAGGCAGCATAACATTAATCTATGCTCTTTCTACAAACACACACACACTGCCTGTGACAAACACTGCAGGGCAACGGAGTCAGTGATCTGACGGTGGCTCACCCTCTTAGCCTGGATCGGCCTCCTCCTGCAGGGACAGAGGTAGAGGAGCGTAGTGCAGGCAGCGAAGCAGCGGAAGGAGAACACCATTTCCACCACAGACATCAAGATGAGGGGCACCCACAGAATGATTGTGGTCGCCTGGTCAACATTAAAAGAAAATGCCACGGCACATAACTCTGATTAATAAACATTTTGTTTTTTGCAGCAATTTAAGTAAATGTCAAAACTGCCAGTGGGTAAATATTTGCATTCAACTCACATAGATACGGGTGGGGTCAAAGGGGCATTCATATGTGATGCTGGAAGAGCCAACATTATTATTAGAATTCCTGCAGTGTGTTAGCAGACCCTTGCCTTTATCCATAATGGCTTTTACCATCGAAACTGACAAGCCCAAGGTGGAGGCAACTGCCAAGAGACCAGCCAGGAAGCCGAAGACCAACAGGACCCACTGCTGCAAAGACAACATGATGACAAGCTCTTGTTGAGTGTTAAGGTAAAAAGTAAAACAGTTAATATGTGAAAGACATTGTCCCCCATAACAGACAATCTGCTTCTCTTTGTCAAGCAGATGTAACAGGGAAGTAGGAACATGAATTGACATTGACATATTGACATTATTTAAATAGATCTTCCATATCTTCACACACCATGCACTAAGTCAAAACAAAGGGCAAGTTCTAACAGGAGCCAGAAAAGACCAGATGTGAGTGCTGATTGTAGGAGGGAGAAGCTGCAGCAGCAACAGCAACGGGGGAAAGTTATTTACCAGGATCCTGTTTTTCTTGTTTTTGGACAAGACAATGGCTGTTATTCCACCAATAATTCCCTAAGAGACAAAAGATGTTACATGTTCAGTAAAAATGACATACACTTCATCACATACAGATGATAATATAAAAAACAATTAATATTTTAAAATATTTCTACTCAAAATGGCTCTATTTAAGGATGAATGATTTACCTCCATGGACACAACTTACAGGTATAAGCTATCTGCTGATACCTTTAATAACTTCAAAGTAAATATCAAATTGCTTGTAGGTTTTTTATGCATATGTCCTGCCACTTACCACCAAGCCTGCCACGATGGCAATGACATTAGAGATGGCGTAGACCATGGTCCGGGCCTGAGAGTGCACGTTGATGTGCCTGAGCACAGCGCCGTGCACCAGTGCTCCAAGAAGAAAGTTGACATGGCCCACCAACACCAGCCCCAGCCCCATCTTCATCAGGGCTTTGTTGTCCTTGAGGCTGGCGCAGCATACTCCTAGAGGAAGCAGAAATACATTATGTTTACCTCATAATCTTAACTTAGCTCTGAGCACTGTGACTTCTGTCAAAATCTAAATGATAAACAATAATTACATTATGTGTACAACACAATCTGTATTGTCAGAGTGAAGCATAATCCAAAACTATGTGTATAAATACCAGTGGCATGTATCAGTATGTGTTGCTGACAGAAACCAACAAACTAAACAAGATGAAATTACAGTGTGCACATAGGTTTATGAAATATGATCTGAAATATAGAACAAGCTGTAACTGCACTACACTGACAACTTGTGTGAGAACTGACTTTGTTGAAGCCTTGTGGTTTTAGCAAAGCGAAGAGGAAGCGGGCCAGTGGTTAGCACACTGTATCAACACATGAGAATAAGTCAGTCACCACAGTTATCCCCAACCCCTGCAGAGATGGCTGAAGGTGTCATCCTCTGCGTGCAGCAAAACCCTGCAGCTATGGTGACAATTCAGAGAAGGGGTCTGACGGGGATTGTGTTGCACTATTTTCTTCCGTCCTCTGAAGAAAGGTGAAGCACCCACCCTCAAAGTCCATGTAAACCCCTCCTGGACCTAACAAGACAAAGCTTTGGGTGGGGTGTTCAAACATTCACCACCTGGCCTGAGGGGTGAGGTAGAGACAGATAATGGCTCCTGTCCTACTGGTGGGTGCTGCTGTGGAAATACTCACTATGTTTTAGGTCATAATATTGTTTGCTCTGTCTAATGTTTGCTGCCATTCAAGTGCTCACTATCACATTTTGTCACTGTAGTGTATAGATTAACAAAAACCCCAGGATCTAATATTTGCATTATTTACATATTCATGTAGTAACTGTAAAGATATCACACTTAATAGCCCATCTCTTATATTCCAATGTGGTATTACATTCTCTGATAGTTACACAGGGTCAGCATGTCTGTTTCATTCTGCCTGGTGCTGTTTGATACTTTTGATTTTATTTAGGTTGATAATAATGATAGGATATATAGTATGGAGCCCATACTATAGTACACTGTTGTATGGACCTATATCTAAACCATCAACAGCCCATAATCTTGAATCCTATGCAACCTGCGCTAACCAAAAAGGTTCAGTTTTATTTAGGTGAAACTCTGGATAAAACACACCTATGTAAGGCTAAATACCTTATCCAATTAACTAATAAGTTACTAACATAAGTTTACATGAACATAAACTGGCAACACAAACACAAAGATATTACATTGAGTTCCGTCAGTCAAACACCAAAAACTGAAGGTGAGCTACGTCTCTTCTCTGAGCTCCGTTTACAAATGCGCAGACCACGCCTAAAAACTTTGTCTCGGACCACAGCCATGTAGTCTGTCCTTTCACTGAAGCAAACATATAAGTTCACTTACCTAAATACACCATGGTGGGTTTTTTTTTGTCCTCTTAGTTCATATTAGTGTACAAGTTGTATTAAAGTCATTTCTGACAGCTTTTTGACACGCTCCTGCTGGTGGGTCCTTGTCTTCCTCAACTGCCGCTCACCTGTAGACAACCGCCTACCTATGCGGAAGCTCCTCCCCCAATACCTTTACACACGTCACATTTGAAGGGGTGAGGATGATCTATCTGCGAAGAAATACTGCAGCTCTGTTCCCACCAGCTATTAAAATACCTTCCAATATTTAAAGAAACATCAAAGTAAAATATAACAAGAAAAAACAAGACATTTTTTCACATTGGTCTGAGTTTGTGTTTACTTGTTTGTGTAGAGCAGGGGCATTACTCTTATTTAAGATGAACCTGCCTTTGATTCATTTTTGTCTTATTTGTTTTCCAGATATAAAAATCAGTGCGTAAGTGTGTGACATGTCTATAGAGTCAGTAATTGTAATGTCTGTAAAGATGATGAATGCAATGGCAATGATATTTTTAACTTAGAGTTTACCCTCATAATTATATATATGTGATCCTCTGTCATTTGTGGTCTTTTTCTTTTTTTTACTCCTTTTTTTTCCTTCACTATAATTTTCTTGTTATTCTTTTTTAAATTTACACATTTATTTATTTATTTTTATTCAGTTCCTCCAGGGGAAAAGGTTAAAAAAGGAAAATAAATGTGTGATATGTAAAATGGAAATGTAAACCACACAAATAGAATCACAAAAACAATTTAAAAAGTAAATGTCAATTTAATCTTTAAAGATTACAGCAACACTGTGATACCATAAAATGTTGGAAAAGTCACACACACAGATTTATTTATGACTTACACAAACTATAAGGATACGAATTTCATATTATTCATCCTTCATTTTTTTGACTTCCTTTCAGTGAATGTGTACGTAATGCTGCTGTTATTGAAGATGATAAAAACCTGGCTGGTTACTTAAATATTAACTCAGCTGTCAAAGATGCTAAATATGTGAAATATTTGCAGTCAGGAATAACATGAACAAAAGACACAATTTCCTTTAATATTTTTAAAATTGTAAATACCTCTTTCAGACAATAATACACACAAAAAGCATCACATACTACATGGGTGTAGTAGTGGGTGAAGGTTTCAGAAACCAATCTAAACACAGCATGACTGCGTGTCAGCCTCGTTAGCTTGATTGCCAGCACCTGTCCCTCCTGCCACTGCACCTTATTAATGTCACAGGTGTGGCAGAGGAGCCGACAGAGTTGTTGGCCCACTTTGAGGTTTGCGATGGGGATAACAGAGATATTTCTTTGCATTTTTGTTGGACAGTGTGTTGCTGTTCAGTCAGTAATAAAAGAACAGGATGACACATTTTCCCAGAATTTTCCAGGATTTTTTGACAATCTCATGCCGTTTCCATTTGAAAGAAATTTTGATTTGACTCCATATGACACCATCTTCAGCTCCTGGCGAACCCGGACCCCTGACTTCCACATGCTTGCTGAACTACCTCCCATCATGAACGTTCCCAGAGTACAGGTGTTTTGTGATGAATCTCGGCTGACTGTGCTGGTTGATAAGAGATCCTATGGTGTCATGCTGAAGGTAGAGGAGATACAGCTGGGTGATGGCTGCTATAGCAACAGAGAGCGACCAAACCAATTTGTCTTCACTTACAGTGTTAATGAGTGTGGAACTACACAAGCGGTGAGTTGGCCAGATTCTTTTCTTTTGCTACTTTTTATTTATTGTAAGGATTTTCTGAAAGCACCGTCTGTCTTGCAGATACAGAATGGCTTGAAGGTGTTCACAAACTTGCTCCACTTGAATCTCAAACCTCTCACCTGGCAGCAAACTCCTTCCACATTGCACATCTCCTGTATTCCAAAAAGGTGAGCCACTAAAACATCTGTTAGTGGTCATAAATAACCATACTAAAGACAAATGCTTGTCATTTCAGGTCTTATGATAACCCAGGCCTCTTTACGGCAATGGCTCCCTCTGAGAGTTTCACGAGCATTAATATCAAAGCCATGAATCGTGAGTGATAAACTGAGTCGAAAAGATGCTGTTTAAGTTGAGAATTTCATTTGTAAAAACAAATGATTTTTTTTTTTTTCTGGTTTCCTGCAGCGTCCTGGACCAGCACCACAGAGTCAAATGTCTACGAAAGAGGCCAGGTTGTAAACCTCAAGGTTTCTGCTAAAACCAGGCCTGATCAGCAGCTTTTCATCCAGTCCTGCTTTGTCTCTGCATCCCCCGAGCCTCAGACTAAATCTCGGCATGCACTCATAATGAATAAAGGGTAAGCAGCAAGTCTGGTGTACATCATTTCTCCACTGTTGTCTAATTTTCTAACCACCTGAGATGCCATTTGTCCCAGGTGCACAGCCCCGTTGGGTTCACCTCATCCTGTCGTACACTTTGTGGCCTCCAGCAGGGGGGATGTGGTTAATTTTGCTCTCAACACATCTTATCTGATTTCTGAGGTGAGTTTTTCAAACGGCCATGGCAGGTCTTTGATTTCTGCTTCTCGGCTGTATGACCTTATGAACTCTTTCCTTTGAAGCTGTACATCCACTGTAGTGTGCTCATCTCAGACCAGGGTGTCACCATTGGCTCCAAATCCTGCAACTACAATGTTATCCAATCAAGGTACAGTGCTGGTGAATACATAAAACTATATTTTGTGACCTTTTCATTACTGATAGGGTTTTTTTTTTTTTTTCTTCTTCCCATTTCAGGTGGGAAGAGCTAAGTGGAGATTTCGAGGTGTGTGAGTGCTGTAGCTCAAGGTGTAAAGGCCCATCAGTCAGACACTTTCCTGAAGGTCAGTACTTTGTGTTTTGTCTTTTTAATCACAGTGCAATAAGTGAATATGAGGGTATCTCTGGGTCTCTAACTCAGTGGCTCATGTCATTTCAGCCAAGGCTACAGTCAGCACTGGTCCCTTAGTCATTGTGGACAAGATGGTCTCTGAGCCTGCGATCTCTGGACCACAAGAAACCACCCCTGTCCCTCTAACCGACTCCATGCTGTCTGATGCTGCAGTGTCGGACGACACAATCGTTTCTGGTACTTCTGTATCAAGAAGCAAGTTCTCCTCTCCCCCACAGGGTGTAGTGGTTGTGAGTCAGGACCCAGTTGCCAGACTGACCCTCTGGCTACCTGGACAGGTGCAGGATACTGAACACAGCAACAATATTGGTTCTGAGTCTGAAGACAGTTTGACTGTTGTGTTAAAGGCGAACGACGTGGTATCAAATGACCTTTCTGTGCCAAGCACAGATCAGGAGTCTCACCTGAATCCACCCACAAACAAGATCAACTTCCCTCTGCCAGCTGAGATGACTGTAAATGACCTAAACCAGATTGATTTTAATCAAACGGGAGAAGACCTGGCTCAAATGCAGGTAGATGCAGTTGCCATGTCCCAAGAAGGAACAACTGATGTCCAACCAATAATTCGTTCAAAAATCCAATTTTCCAAAGGCATGGATGGATCGCAGACACTGAGTTATGAGGAAGAAGTGGTAAAGCCCAGGCAGAAGGGGCTGCACTTAATTTTCTTGGATTTGTTGAGGTACCTAAACTTGGAATCATTTATTTCTTTCCAGTTTCTGCTACTGTGAATGCATGTACATATGCATGTGAATATCACTAATTTATTATCTCTCATCCTCAGGAGGATGGACAAGGCAGAATAACTGCATCTTCATTGGATAATTTTATAATGGCACTTTAAGTGAATAAACTTACTGCAACAATAAATTAAATGCTTGTTCTTTTTTTATTCAATATTTTTCTTTCAGTAATAATAAACTATTCATCAGTAAAGGACCCTTTCAAGCCTATATAGTATGTTTCAGTGAGAGCCTCTTGTATTCCCACCCAGATGTCGCTGTGGGGAGCTGGGCTCTGTAGTTAGGACAGTACGGTGTGCGCTCTCCCTTTTACACCGCATGCTCAGTGTTTTTTTCTATCCCAAGTTTGACCCTGGCCACTATTTCCTCCGCACCGCCACTCTCTATAAAGTGCCCATGCTTTCCTCACGCAGTCTCTTTCCCCGGCCACAAAACAACCGTGAGTGTCCAACTCACTGTTCTTGAAAAACTTAAAATAAAAATAATATAAAAAATATAAAATCTACAAAATCTTCATAAAAAGTACATTAATACTTAAAGAAATACAAACGTTAAAAAAATCGCAAAACATTAATTAAAAAAAAAAAAATACCATAAACAGGAGGCCTCGGGCTTAACCCGAAGTTGGCGTCTTTAAAGGAAGAAATACTTCAGAAGACATCGAGATTTTTTTTTTCTTTTTTTCTTTTTTTTTTTTTTTAAATCGTGATTTTTTCAGGTTTGACATTTTCTCAACCGGCTGGATCAGGGAGCCAGCTGTCCTCTCACCGTGTCTTTATTAGATGAATTGAAGCGCAGCTCGGACTCGAAACGGTTCACACCGGCATTTTTCTGGCTTTTTGTGAGGGCTTTACATACATTTAATTTGTCAAGTCCGAGATATGAACACAGCGACGGGGAGTTATCCGATGGCTTCTCTCTACGTTGGCGACCTGCACCCAGATATCACGGAGGCTATGCTGTATGAGAAATTCAGCCCAGCCGGACCGGTGCTCTCCATTCGGGTATGCCGAGATATGATCACCCGGCGCTCCCTGGGATATGCTTATGTGAACTTCTCACAGCCTGCTGACGGTAAGAAATGACACCTGAAGTAATATGTGTACAGTTTGAGAATGTTACGTGCACGCGTCGGTGCATGCAGGGGCATGCAGGGTTAAGAGGCAGAAAGCATGCATCCCTCAAATGTTGACAATGTCACCATATGCTTTCAATGTCAATCCTAAAACTGCCCACAATCTCGTGCCAAATCAAGGAAACGCTTGCGATGACTAGAGGAACATGGGTTTTCACTGAAATGTTTTTGGATATTATCATAGGACAGCCATGGCAGTTCTTCAGACTGGTTGAAGCAGTCATTTGACCCATATAAGCATGTCCCAGTTCTGGGATACTCCTGGAATTACAAGTCACCACTATTGTTAAAACCCACGCCAAATGCAGAGTTTGAGTTATGCTTTAAAG